CTACTACTACTACTACTACTAGCAGCGGCAGCAGCCGCTGCAGCAGCAGCAGCAGCAGCAGCAGGAGGAGGAGGAGGAGGAGTAGTAGTAGTAGTAGCAGCAGCAGCAGCAGGAGTAGTAGCAGTAGCAGTAGCAGAGGCAGGCGCAGCAGCATTAGAAGGAGAAGCAGCAGAAGTATGAGCAGGGGAGTAGTAGTGGCAATGCATCTTCACAAAATTCTGATCCGGATACTAGCTGGTCAAGAGCAGGCTTCTTCACAACGAAGATAGGTGCAACCAGTTATTGTGTTGCAAGCCATGTATAGAGTTTGAGGGGCTTTAGGAGCTTTCGGGTTTTAAGTTCCAACCAACCTGCAATCAGGATCAACGTGCTTGCTGGGGCGGGCACTCTGGCCGCATCGGCTGAGGCATTGTCAGTGTCGAAAACTGCCTAAGACCAACTGCACCAACAAGATGTCAGTACCCTGACAAAACCTACCCCACTTGGATTACTGAAAGGCGTGGTGGCGTGGTGTCTAGTCTTTCTGAGGCCGGGAGCTGGAAGTCGCGCTGCTTCCTGAACCGGTTTAAGGCACACCGATCAGCGGAAGAAGATCACACTCGCGCTCTCCTCTGCTGGCGGCCGATCCTGTGGCCTGAGACGTTTGGCACAACAGGCTTTGCTCGAGTAGCTGTTTGGATGCGTATCGAACACGGACGCACGGTAGAAGGCTCTACTGCATTAGGCTTCATTGGTCCATTGGCTCGGAACCAGGACTTTTGTCAGTCGTAACAAGTCGCCGGAGCACACGTCACACTGAGCCGTTGACGTTTCGTGGTCACTCATTGTTGGAGATCCTTTCAAGATGCTGCAACAAGTACAGCTAGCGGAACCGGTTACATACAACCATCGAAGATCATCGATGCTTGGTGGGTCTTCTAGCCAAAACAGCTAGAGTCTATAGTAAATGCAATAAGCCGGAGAAACACACGGAGGCAAGGAGTTAGTCACATTGCCGGACAGCTGTGTAGTTCTGCCAAGCCAGGGGCCTTCTTCCCCATCCTTTGGATCCTGAAGTGGCACAGAATTCTAAGCGAAGCGCAGAGATGCCTTTTGCCACTCAATATCCCTTCCATGCTTTGATGACACCGATCTTCATTTCAACTCCTACTCGCGACCTTCCGGCCATGTCAATTAATCCGCCGAGGCCGCGTCTTGATCCGCCCTCCCAGCAGCCTCCCCCCTCCAACCCCCCTCCCCTGCCCACCCCCCTCCCCTGCTTCCCTCCCCTCCACCCCATTCCTTCACCGAACCCATCTCCTTCGGCAATCAGCGAAACACAGTGGGTTGTGTCACAGTGCTGCTCAGCCCCTTTAAGACCTTTAAGATGACTCAGGTACTGGTGCTGTTTCTAGCCAGTAAAACTTCTTGGCTCGCATGGGCTATCCCAAACAGTTAAACACGCACACACACACACAAGCAACATGAATCCGCCACTTAGTACGCACTACCTAATCCTCCTACCTGCAGCCCAAGTCCCCTTTTGGGGTGCAATTTCGACCCCCCCCCTTCCTACGCATCTCCCACCCCCCCTCTCGCCCCATCCACCCCTCCCCCTACTGCTGCAGCATGATGCAGCTACTCAGCGGGTATTACTAGTGCAGTTATTGCTCTTACTACGTTCTACTTCTGCTTCTAGTCCTGCTGCGGCTGCAACTACTACTACTTCCTTCCGTGGCGCAAACGTTCGA